AAGCAAAGTGAGAGCCACCTAGTTAGACACACCTCTGTTTGGAGGAAGTTCCCAGCTCTGCCCCTCCTGCTGTGGCTGGCAGAGATGTGTGGCCACCTTCCGACTAGCCCTCCAGACCCCACCGGGTCCAGCTCCCTCTCTGCCCTTAGACAGCCTCCAAATCCTCAAGCAAGAAGCTAACCGGGCTAAATAAATATCTTCGGCCTCCTGCAGGAGAGAAGAAACGGACTCTGACTTCTGGCTGTAAATCCTGAGCCCCTGTTCCCTCTGGGTGGCCCAGGGCTAGTCTAGCAAGCCCTCTGAACCTTATGTTCCCTCTGAAAAAGAATGAGGTGTGCCCTGCTCTGCCCGTAGGGTGTGGAGGACCCATGGGAGCTGTGATGAGGAGACTTGGTAGAATGCCCTGCACCCACCAGGTAGTACCATATCGACTTCCTGTTCAGGGCTGCAGTCAGCACCCAGGGTCCCCTGGTCATCAGTGCCCAGACACTTATTAGTTCCCCTCCTCTGGCTGTCCCAGGCTTCCCCAGGGATCAGGCCTGCTTCCCCATCCTGCAGCCCCGTCAGTGCTGCTATGGCCTGGCCCAGCCACTCACCGGTCCTTGAAGAAACGCCTCAGACCAAATGCCACCAGCTTCAGCACAGCCTCCAGCACAAAGACAGTGGTGAAAAAGTAGTTGCAGTACTTGAGGGCTATCTCCAGGGACTATGGGGGGGCGGGAGGGCAAAGAAAAGCATGATCCAGGCCCCAGGACCTGCCCCACCCCCATCTTCCTCTAGTCAGAAAGTCTCTGCCTTTTAAGAGGAGAATTTAACCCATTCACCTTTAGTGCAATGACTTATGTGTCTACTTTTATTCCTTCCATCTTACATAATGTGCACTATTTCTCTCACTGCTATTTCCTTTTCCTTATTTCTGCTGGTTTGGTCCAGGTACCCCTCTTTGGAAGCAGTGTTGGTTAATAGTTAAGGGTCATGTTTAAGAACCAGACTGCCTAGATTTGAATCCTGGCTCAGCACTTACTCCTTGTTCACTATGACTTTGGGCAAGTCACTTGGCCTCTGGGAGTTAGTTTTTCAATCTGTAAACTGGGGGTGATAACAGTCCCTTACCTCAGAAAGTTGCTGTGAAAATTAAATGAGCCAATAGCCCTGTGCCAGACAGGGTTACATATTTAAATACTTGGTAAATGTGAGCTATTATTATTCCATTTCTTCATGTTAACTTGGAAGTTCCTTTCTGCCAATGGTTGCCTTCCTTTCCCCTGCATGCATAACATTCCTCTCCTATCATTTAAAATAACTCCTAACCCCTCACCTGGAGGCTCTGCTCCCCTCTTCTTCCCCCATCTATATATATAAAAGGCTAATATGCAAAACGTCCCCTTGGGAGTTCAACCGTGAGTTTGATCACTCACTTGCCATGACGTGCACTGACCACCAGTGGGCGGCACAGAATGAAGGAAGGCCCTGGCCAGCAGCCAGCAACCAGGTAAGGGAGGCCCCAGCCGGCAGCTGGAAGGCCCCGATCAGCCCTGATAGCAGGCCTAGAAACCCTACCCATGCACAATTTTCGTGCACTGGGCCTCTAGTCTCTGATAAGCTTTTGGGATGCACTTGCCCCTACAAGCCCCTGACATGCCCCTCATGGACACTGCCTGCAACTAGCTAGGAACTGGTCACCCTCTCCCACCTCTGTGTTTGCCCCCAAAAGTCCTGCTACCTGAAATGCCCCTCCCCCAGGCTCCATATGCCCAGCAGCGAGGGGCCACCTGGCAATCCTTGAATACAAATCAAAGTCCTGGCTTCACTGCTCTCTGGCTGACTAATTGGGGCAACATATTTTCTCTCTCTGAGCCTCAGTTTGTTTGTCTACAAAATCTGGAGAAAGTCCCCTCCCCCACCTTAAGGTTGCTATGAGGATGAGAGAGTTAAAATCGGTACATGCCTTGCAGAAAGTCATATGAAACACACCCTGGCTACTGTTACCTGTATTCAAGGTGAGGCCCAAATGTCACCTTCACCCACCAGAAATCGGAGACTTTTCCCTCTGGCCCCTCTCCTTCAGTCACGTATCCTACCAGGCCGTGAGCTTCCTGGGCATAGGGCCCAGCATGGCGACTCAGATCCTGCCCACCCTGTCCCAGGGGAAGGGTCCTGCTGAGGGCCTGCTCCCCATGAAACCTCGGCCCCGGGGGGCAGGGCTGGGGCTCACCATCGGCTGGTTGTAGTGTTCCAGGGACATGGTGACCACATTGAGGCAGATGACGAAGGTGATGAAGATGTCCAGGTAGTGGCTGGTGCACATGGAGTGGATGAGCAGCCGGGTGGGACAGTAGGTGGCATAGTAGGGCAGCCGCTGGGCCTCTGCCAGGGGTGCACAGGGGTGTGGCGCAGGCCACAGAGGGTGGCCAAGGCGGGCACAGAACATGTGGAGGGAGAGGGAGAGGGGAGAGAGGAAGCAGGCCCTGGGAGTCAGACTTAGGTCCCCTCCACCCAGCCCCGGGGCCACAAGGGAAACGGGTAAGATGTGGGGGTAGGTGGCAGAGAGAGCAGGACACTGATTCTCTCCATCCACCTCGAAAGTGCCCATGGCAGGGGCTCTGGTCTGCTGGGGGGAGAGCAGGGGTCCCACAGCTCAGGGTCAGGCATCAGGCTCTGCCTTTGCCCTCTGCCTGGACGGAGACACCTGGTTGGCATTGGTGTCACCATCAGACTCCAGGTGGACACTGATAGGGCTCAGGTCACCTGGACAGTCAGACACTGGGAAAGGGGCAGGGCCAGGGGCACAGGGGCAGACCCTCCGTCCCTTCCAGCTCCGAAGCCCAGAGGCTGGTGTGGGACTCAGGCCTCAGCCCTCACCCCCCGAAGATCAGCGGCAGTGGACAGAGGAGGCCGGGGTGGGGTCACCCACTCACTCCGGCGCTTCTTTTCCAGGCGCCGCAGCCGCTTCTCCTCGCGCCGCCGCGCCTCCTCGGCCTCCTGGTGCTGCCGGCACTTGTGGAAGTTCTCCACCACGACGCCCACGAACATGTTGAGCACGAAGAAGCTGACGATGAGCAGGAAGGAGATGAAGTA